ATCTAATCTAATCTAATCTATTCTATCTATCTATCTATCTATCAATTTATCTTTCTATCTTTCTGCAGTTCAACATCCACAAAGTACTGCACCTGCCACGAATCTGCACTTCAAGGTCCACAAAGTCTTGCGCCTGCCACGAAATCTGCACTCCAAGGCCCACAAAGTCCTGCACCTGCCACCAACTCGACTCTACACTTCCACACCCACAAAGTCCTGCATCTGCCACGAAATCTGCACTTCAAGGTCCACAAAGTCCTGCGCCTGCCACAAAATCTGCACTCCAAGGGCCACAAAGTACTACACCTGCCACGAAATCTGCACTTCAAGGCCCACAAAAAGTCCTGCGCCTGCCACAAACTCTGCACTCCAAGGCCCGCAAAGTCCTGCACCTGCCACGAAATGTGCTTTGCAAGGTCCACAAAGTACTGCACCTGCCACGAAACACGAAAAAAAAATCCCCAAAAAAAAACGAAAAAACATCCAGAAATATATTCGCAACCTTTAAGCCACCTCTTGGGCATTGTCCAGACGTTCCATCCTTCTTTCGGTGTGCAAGACCGCTTGGTAGACCCTTGCCACCGGAAACCCCACGTGCGGCCGGAAACCGTCTCGTCAGCCTTTTTGCCCTGAGTGGTTCAGGCCCTCAATCTGACGAATCGTTGAATGATCGGGTCATGATGCATGCGATTTGAAACAGTTTTATATCAGAAAAAAAACTGTTGCGCAAGCACGGAGGCTTTCAGGTCCTGTTTTCAGCCGTACCACATTTGTTGAGAGGTGGGCCAACGCCAGCTGCTTTGCTTTGCTAGGGCCTTGCTCCGGAAGGCAGGTTGGCCACGTACAACGACCTCACCAAGTCATTCACGATATCATTTCTTGCACTGTAGGTTTAGCTCACAGAGGTAAGGTTCGATGACACTGGGTACACACCATGCAGGTTCTTGTCAATAGCGAAGTTGTAATTATTCGGGAGATTCCAGGAGACCTTTTCAGTGTGGGAACCCAACTGCACTGATGGTGCGATCCTGCACAAGATTGGGCCTCTATGTAGTTTATCCGAATTGGCCTTGTATTTTTTGAGCCACCGCTTGTCAGCAAGAACTGCAAAAAAGGAATTGCAACCTGATAGCAGATATCCTCTAAGAACCATGTAGGGTCCTCCTTTTGGCCCACTCCTCAGCTTTGCAAGGCCAAGGTGGTGCTGTTGGATGAAGCTACTGCCAACATCGATGCTTTGACGGACGCACTGCTCCAGAAGACGTGCCTCCTTGGCGCTTGAAACCGGTCGCGTGAGGTCTGGTGGTTGAAAGACTTGGCATTAGGCCGCGAGCACTGAAGAGAGCGAATGCCTCCAACCTACTAGCTTCTAGCTACTGGTTTTGGATTTTTATTTTGTTTTTCGGTTCAACCTTTGGCGAAAGACACATGCTTGGTTGGAAGTTTCTCCGCAAAGGAAATCAGTTCCACTCAATCTCTCAAAAATTGTTGGGTATGTTATGGTATTTTTGTCTTCCATCATCTTCCATTGAAGCCTCTCTCCTGGCAGAACGACATAGAGTCCCCCTAAAGCATTATAGAAAGCGTTTATCCTTCAATACTGGAACCCCTTTTTTGATCCTTATGTTTTAGCAGAACTCCTTTGACCTGGAACTTGCACCTCAGAGACACTCAATATCGATCGTTTACATGCAACACCGCTGGGGTGCCCCTCTCCTGCAACACTGGTGCTACGGTGTAAATGCAGGTGTTGCGGTTTGCTACGGTTCTCATACATCATTTACTTGATGTTTTTTTCTTTTTTTTTCTGACGTTCGAGGGCGAGGCCATTGGGGGATGCGAGGCTGCGAAGCAGCTTCCACGGAGCCACACTTCTGGTCATCGCGCACCGATTGTGTGGCACCAAGCAGCGAAGGACACGCACATGACTTATCCATTTGTGTTTACAATCGTCCGCAAGACCAGTAAGATACAATGTTTGGACGGCAGCTTTAACCTTAAAGGAAGCTTCCTCTACCCTTCGAGAATGACGTTTGCAGCCTTAGCCAGCGTGGGAGCTGTGGTGCCTTTTGGATCCTTTTGAGCTACTCATGCAGTTGGTTGGCACAGAAGAGGTGGTTTAGCAGTCGGGACAGCCCTTTCCTAGCAATGTCGGGACCGCTTACCTTTGGCAGGCAGTTTTGCGAGAGCTGTGTGTGTGTGTGCTGTAAGGTCAGGATGTTGGGGGGAACTGCAGCAAATCTCAATGTCCTCATGTTGTGCTATACGGGCTGAGGGCAAGGAAGAAAGTTGATGGACACATGGCCAAGGTCCACCGTGGCAGACTCCGACCTCATCGTTTGCTTGAATCAAGGCGCATGGGACCGCTGGTGTTCGAGAATCCTGACACAGCAACCCTTCTAGGACGTCGGAGTTTCGGAGTTCCCGCACAACGCTTGCAATGAAAGGGAGTAACAACCAAAAAGACCAGAAACAACAAACGATATATAATTATGTGTTTGCATATTTAGTTATAGGAGCCTGCCTTTTATACATCAAGTTATATATATATAGTTAATGTTACATATTATATATATATGTGTGTTTTTTGTACATATACACATCTATGAATAAGTTAACCATCAATACATGGGATCAACATGCCATCTCTCCTGACGACCATATTCATGGGCGTCTTTCACCGCAACTCTCGGTCTCTCTCAGCCTCCGGTGGCGGCCACCTCTCTCTCTCTCTCTCTTGCAGGTGAAGTCGCTGAGGTCGGTCGCCCAGAGGAGTTGAAACTCACCGGGGGCCTCGTGGCCAAAATGTTTGCGGATGCAGGAGCCGATGAACGTCGTACAGACGGCCCGTCGTGAAGACACAGTGGGCACCCTTTTTTCGCGCTGTGGGAACACAGCCCACACTGGGCATGCAGCATGCACGGTGTTTTGGGGATCGCTTTTTGGAGGTGGGGCGGGGGTCTCACATGGCAGAAGATGGTCGAACTGGAGGGGTCGTGAACAAAGAATCGAGAATCGAAACATTGACCAGACAAAGGTTTATGCCATTCACAGCCGGGCATTCGCCCAACAAAATTGGGAGTAAAGGCCATCTCCCATCATTTCTCCATGGCTGTCAGCACCGCACATGTCGTGGTCGGGCAGCTGCACGGAGGAGAAATTATGCCTGGAACGCGCGTGAGCCTATGACCTTGCATGTTTGTGCAGTATTCTGCATGTAGATTGTTTGGCCTGGACCGCTTGGCAACCCAATCAGACCAGTGCCAGAAGCGCAAGGATCTTTTTTTCATGATTGGCCCAGGGAAGGAGGAAACTGTACTTACAGTATATACCCTTGACCTTGCAGGAGTTGTAGGGTTTGATCCTCGCCTTGAGGATATTGGAGCTACCCCATCCCAAACCCTTGAATTTTCCATCCGACCCTGGTGCGGAGTGCGACGAGGATAACTAGGTAACTATAGGGCCTCATACCTTTCAGCTGTCGAAAGAGACAGCTTCAATAGACCTCATGCGCTGACCACGAGAGGGTCAAAAAGAGTACGTGTCAAAAGACCTTCACCAAGGGCTTAAGAATGATATTTTTTGAACGCTTACATTTTCGGGAAGGGGAAAGGCTATTGTTCAGTTTGTGCTCTTGCTTTCGTCCAAGATTTGTAGAGGGTCTCACACCCAGACCCTTCGAAGAAAGTCTTTGGTCCCTGTGTGTGTGCGCGCTTTGCGACTGCTTTTATGTTGTGAGGCTTTGTTTCTCCAAAAAGCCATCGCACGTCACCGGGAGCTGCCAGGCTCGATCCTGATGCTCCCAAACTCAAGGTTGAGGCGACTGTTGTGTGGGTGGTCGAGGAGAGATATCGGGAGCACAAGGAGCACAAAGGAATTTCATTGATTTCCCTTTAATGACTTTTTCCCTCCTACACAAGCCTACACAAGCTAGGTAGCGAGTTGACAGGTGCAAATCCAACTATATATGTGACATCACACGCGAAGTTCTTTGTTTGGAGGCTGTACGACGATGAGCGGGGTGCATATCAACTGAATACATCCGAATCAAAAAGCATACATCGCTAACCAACGCAACTATAATATGGAAACGGCTTGGGCTCGTTTGAAGGATGACTTTCCTGTATTATCGATACTTGCGATCACGACGAACCACAAAAGGTCTCTTTGTATTGTCCCATGTTTCAGTGTCATGAGTTTCCATACCCCATGAAACACAGCAAGAGTAAGAAAAACACTGCGTATTGTGCACAAAATACACCCAACTTGTGAACGAATGTGAATGATTAAGAAGGGTAGTGTAGTTCCCAGATGCATTAATGTATATTCTCATGTAGCTTGTTGGAACTTCTGACAGCACATGACTTCATCTGAAAGGATCCAAAGGGAGCTCTTGGCGGTGTGCTTTCCGATCCTTTTGTATACACTTGGTTCATTCCGTGAATTCCGATTCCCAAAGATAAAGAGCTTACATTGATCAAGCATGATCAAGCAACATTACAGACATTATATAGTGCCAAATGCATGTTTGGCATTTGGTGGCTTCGGGTGACCTTGTTGTCAGTGTTCCTTTTGTCTCGAGGGCTTCAGAAACACTTTCCTTTGCCCAAGCCAGCTGTGACTTTTTGCCAATGCCTTCCTGGCTCATGCTTAGAATTCAGGCAGGTGATCAGGACACTTGCCAATTTTCGTGACGAGCCTCACCACAGATGTTGTGCTTGGATTGGTGTTCAGCCATATGCAACCCACTCTGCACATGACGGTGCAAGCAAGGGAAAGAGGCTGATGTCCCCGTGGACGATCCACTGTATATGTTGCCATTGGGAGCCTCAGGCCTTTAGGTACATATCCTAGCATAAAGAAGTCAGGGAACATAAGTCATGAGCCTCCAAAAAGCCTTGACTTGAGCTTTGATGGATGAGCCCATGAGCTAGCCGTGGGAAACACCCAAGGGCTTGCAGTATGCCTTGGGCTTCGAGGAGAGTCGAACTTGGCAGGGCATGGATGTATTCAGGGGACGTGTACCTACTTTTTGGTAGGTCAGTTCTAACATGGAGCAACAGTTTCTTTCTGAGACGTTAAAGATCAGCGTAAGAACTGCCACAAGCACTACCCCTGCATGCTGTCCTAGGCTTTATTGGCAGAGGTTGCTATAAGGAGTTAAGGTTGAGGTTGATAAGGAGTTAAGGACCCCACGCTGAAGGAATCTTATGTATTTGCTCTAGAGGACAGGGTGGGTCCACGTGTGTAGAAAATGGATGCAATTGGTCATTCTTTAAAGAAGTGGCTAGCAGCACACCTGCCCCAATGGGGTCAGGGGTCAGGACTCTGAATTTTCTACAGAACATTTACTGTATATAGTTTTCCAGAGAATGAGAACCCATAAAACTCGCAGGATCTGGAGACAAGAAGACATGCGCTGGAGCGTGTTTGTTGAAATATGCAGTCCCTTCATTTTTCTATACAGAGAGTTCTTTCAATTTCTAGACATTTTACTGTGTTTGATGTGCTTCAGATTCCAGTGGTAGCAATCAATAGGACATATCCAATCCTAGAACATGGGAAGACAGAAACATAGAGGGGAGAAGCCAGTCCTCATGTTCGGAGGAAATCCGTTCATCATTTCTGGGGATTCACTAAACACCACTTGACCCCTTCGATGGAATCTAATTTCTCGATATTGGACATATTTGGACACATAGGGTTCAAGATTGCCGCATGAGGGTGGAGCAGCTTAGAACCCCAGTCGCAAAGGCGACGCTTCGTTTCCTGTGCGCCCGTGTTCCTGTAGCAGATGGACTGGGCCAGAACCTTCACGGGAGGTTCTTGAAGATGCGCTGAACCTAAGGTTTCGACACTGTTTGGAATCTTCGCAGTTAGGCAGTACATGGCAATGTGTGCACCAAGGTTATTTGCATCAGGTGGCATCCTTGCATAGTTTTTTCTCTCTTGGTATGGGCTATTGATGCAGCTGCTCTACTAGGTTTGATTTTTCCTAGACTGGTGGCAGAATGTGATCAGCTCACATACAGATCCTTTGCCTGGTGATGGCGAACTTTGTGTTCGAGAAAGCGCTTGATTGATGATCTGGCAGAGTGAGCTGAGCCGAGTCCAGCGATACAGTGTTTGATGTGTGCTTCTCACACTGCATGGAGTTTTTGATGTCTTTAGGTGTGCGCTTTGGGATGGCCCCACAAACCCCTGAGGAATATCCAAGTGTGTATGAGAACCTTGCCTTTTCTGACAATTAATCAGTATGAGCGTTCTTGTCGTTGCCGCTTGCCTTCTCACGACTGTGGCACATGCTTTTATTCCGGTATTCAATGTTTTGGTGCGTTGTCCTTGCACGCCTGAATGCATGGAGTGACAGAGGCCTGCAGTACCCTGGATTTGGTGTCGCTGCTTTTGGGCCTACTCTTAACCTGTTTTTACAGCACAGTGAGTCCTTGTGCATGCTCGTGACCGCTGAATGTTCACGGCCAGAGTGGTGCTCTTGTTGCACTTGTTCTTGCGCTTGGGTTGCCTGCCAGCCCAGCGACAAGCTAGCCCAATTTGTTATTTCAGGAGATGTTTCTTATGCTGCGCTCTCCACTTTTTCAACCTCACTGACAGGTATGGGCGAATGCGCTCTCTTTTTGATGGTGAGGATTTGGCAGGCCTAATTAGGTGCATGTGCGGCCACAGACGACCGCCTTCGGCAGTCGCAAGAAATAAAAATATATTGGACATATGTATATATAACTATATTACTCATCACAATTGACTCCATTGAAACCTGTCTCCATTGATGTTGTAAGAATAGTTGCCCTGGGTAGGTGCTTGGTAAGAACCGTATAGCTACACCCAGTCCAGCGGTGGCGTGGGAACATCATCTCTGTTGCCATTGGAGGATGATGCTGGGAACACCTCGATGGATGCTTCTCGCTGCCGCGTCCTTTTTGCGGCTTCTCGCTGGACATGTGTTTGGTGATTTCGGATTAGACACCGCAATCCTCCAGACCATTTGCGTTGTAGACTCTTTAATGATTCCTCTTTAAGCAATATTAATTACAACTCCCAAATCAAGAGGTATAGTATACAATCCAAAGGGGGGGTTAGCAATCCATATTTTACATTACTGTAGATGGGTGTGTTTTGTCCTTGCCAGCCATTCTCAAAACGAGGAAGTGTGGGAATATTGGTTGGACATCGCAGATCATCCGATGATTCATCCGATGTCACGAAAGCTAGCCTTAGCTAGCTGGAGTTGCTCTTGCTTTAGCAAGTTAAGTGACGGGGTGGACGCGCCCCAGAAACCTCAAATAATTGATTAAATCAATCTTATGGACCCCCCCCCCCCGCGGTTCGACTCCCCCCTGCGCGCGGTGAGCGGGACCACCAAGCAGCTGCAGCACACCAAGCATCTGCAGTCTACCACCAAGCAGCTGCAGCAAACCACAAAGGAGCAGCAGCAGCAGCAGCAGCAGCAGACCACCCAGCGCCAGCAGCAGCAGCAGACGACCCGGCGCTAGCAGAGCACCCAGCGCAGCAGCGCCCAGCGCAGCAGCGGCAGCAGCAGCAGCACCAGCAGCAGCAGCAGCAGCAGAAGCAGCAGCAGCAGCAGCAGCAAACACAACAGCAGCAGCGGCCGCAGCAGCAGCAGGAGACGCAGCCAAGGCAGACCACCCAGCAGCAGCAGGAGCTGCATTGGACAGTAATACCTTTTTGGGTGCTATGTGCAGGCGGCATTTCTTGCAACATAGCCCTACCCCGCGTACGCGACTAGTTACGGCGTGGAGTCAGGCGGTGTCATTTGAGTCTTGTGCTGCTGCTGCTGGGGGGTCTGCTGCTGCTGCTGGGCAGTCTGCTGCTGCTGCTACTGGGAGGTCTGCTGGTGCTGGTGCTGCTGCTGCTGCGCTGGGTGGGCTGCCGCTGCTGGTGCTGGCGCTGGGTGATCTGCTGCTGCTGCAGCAGCTGCTGCTGCTGGCGCTGGGTGGTCTGCTGCTGCTGCTGCTGCGGCGCTGGGTGGTCTGCTGCTGCTGCTGCTGCTGCTGGGTGGTGCTCTGCTGCTGCTGCGGCGCTGGTTGGTATGCTGCTGCTGCTGCCGCTGGGTGGTCTGCTGCTGCTGCGGCACAGCAACCGCTGGAAAAACCAAGCCAAAGAAGTGATGGAAAGGGGGCACCAAACAAAACCTGCTCCTGTCAGGTGGCAGTTGCTTACTGAATGAGACTCGACGCACCACAAAGCACATACTAACACTGCTTCTCTAGAGTTTCCCACGGGACTTGCAAGTGGACCGGCAGTTACCCAATGAGAGTGACTGTGCAGCCCGCCCCCGACTTGTTTGGACGAGGAGGCCCGGCTAGCTTTCGTTCACCCCCTCTGGCCTCAAGTTTCGCGCAGTTCACTTGAACTCATGGGTTCATTCCCTAGGGTTGCTTTGTGTTTTGGTCATCAGCTTCCAAACACGTAGTGATGCAATGTGCCTTGTTGCTCGCTCAAAGAAAACCCACTTGAGAGTCGAGATGCAGAGCTGTTGCCGCTCGCAGAATACACACCAAAAACAATTTCGTAAGGTGGACAGCTTCACCCCATAGCAGGCACCCAGCATGCAAAGCCCTTGCTTCTCCCACCCGGAGTTCGCCTGAGACGGGTGCTCCACCGGGTGCCGGGCCGAGCAACGCCATCCAGGTCACAAGGCTTCAATCCGCGTGACCATGCCGCCGCCTCCTTCTGTGAGACCGAAGCTGGGCGACACGAGCGGGCGATCAGATCATGTTGAAACAGATGGTATATGACAAATATCCAAAGCCTATATATGAGACAACATATCATGATCTCACATATCATGTCGAAACATGCCGCATGCCAAGAAAAGTATATCCTCTCTCCAAGGCATGTGCTGCTCTCAAACATTTTTGCATGCTAATCGGTCCAAAGGCTTTATAAGGCTTTCACGGGTGGGTGATATTTTTTAGAGATGGAACTTCACAGGTGTCGTAGGGTGTCGCTTCACAGGCCAACGAGGATTTATTGGTGTGACTGCTTTGAATGGCTGAACTGGATTGAGAGTAGATGGGTTTTGGAACGCGGTTTGCAACTAGCCACTAGTTCTTGTTGTTGCAGCACGGCCCGCCCTGAACTGAAAACGTGTAGTTTCTTGTGGGTTTCTCTAGGGGAGTGCAGGTTGTCAAAAAGAGCCCTCTGTATCCAGTGCGGTCGCCACGCTGCATTTGCTCCAGTCTCAGCATCAACGTCACCATGAGACCATTTTTGTTGGTGCATTAGATCATGATCATGAGATTTATGTGTTTAAAACGTGTTTAGACACACCAACAAAAGACGCATATGTTTGGCACTTCTATATCGCCTGTCAGGATTTTTCTTTTTGCCGTGCCAGCATTTTGCAAGCCCACCTCCAAACATACACGCCTGCATGTAGTGGCACACCTTTACCTTGATTAATTATGAGATACTGACTATGGGGATGCCGATGCCTGGTACGACATACTGCTGCCTGCAGCAAAAGGCAAAAAAGGCATCAACAGACATGGTTTTATTGAGAACATTGCATGGTGTGACGCTGGAACTTGTTGTTGTAGATGCCAATGCTGTCGGCCAGCGTGGTTTAGTTTTCCTCGCTGTCTTCAAAGAAGACGTTGCGAGCATGGGACTTGGGCTATCACATTGCAGGCCAGGGTGCCCTGACGGATGAAGTCCTGCACGCATGAACTGAATGAAACCTACACAGCACAAGCAGCTTGTGAGATTGTCACAAGAACACACACTTGCCTCAGAGACCAAGTGTGAAGAACACACTTTTGGTGTGAGTTAGGGCAACAAATACCGTGCCTAATGTTTCAGCCATGTTCGCTGAGTTTGCTTAAATCTGGTTGACACACGTGCGTTATTTTTTGCACACCGCTAGTAGCGACTGCATTGGTCAGAGCCGGCCAGCGAGGGCCTACTTGTTGAATGACGACATCTATGTGGATGATGGGCGGTTTATTGATTCAACCTTCCCGCCGGTCGACTCCTCTTTGGGCGACGCGAAACCTGGGCGCCTTTTCATATCTCAGGAGACCTTGACAAATCAGAAGTTTGTGATTTGTGTGTAGCCTAGTTTAACCCGAAATCGCTCACGTCCTGTAGATCCAACGATGGTTGGATCGAAGGAGCAACGGTCCAAAACCCGGTGGATTCGATTGCCTGAGCTCTTGCACTTCAACCAGGACCTGCGCGTGTGTTCACGCGCGCGCATTTTTTTAAGTGCCTAAGAACTGTAGATGGTGTACCCGGTGTTTGTTGTCATTTAATATTTTGTGTTGGCATTTCATAGATTTTTGGACAACAACTCCACCTAATCCTACCTTCTCTCCCTATTCTTGCCTTCTCTTTTTAACAAAAGGCAAATCACCGCTTCAACAGGCTCCGCAGCGTGGGCAGGAGATTTCCAGCGAGGAACTGGCACAGCGGAACCAGTCGGAGCTGAAGTGGCAAGGCACGGTCGGGCAGTAGTGCTTAGCTTCAAAGACCGTTCCTAGTAGCTTCTTGTTACTATATACTAGTAAGGCACTTGTTCCTAGTAGCGATGCACTTGTTCCTAATGCCACGTTCATGAAAAGAATCATTGTGAGAATCAACCAGCGTCACAACCTGTGGTTGCAATTTCTGTTGTCAATGTGCCAAATTAGGTGATTGATGCGTAATAGATAGATAGTGGCTTTGGAACTGATTGGTTTCTCGTGTGGTTCCGCATTGGAGAATGAGTTGAAAACAAAATCGCGACACATCATTGAGAAGGCCAGTATCGTTCAGTACCTTGGGCTCGAGTTTCTTCAGCTTTGGTACTGGAGCAATGGCGAGTTGCTTGGCTCCCTTCTACTTATTGGCAAGTGCTGCGGCCTTCTTCGGCTTGGATCCCGCAAACCTGCGCGGTGCCAGTCAAGGCGGTGTGAGTAGTGTGCAGGTTCGGGAGGCGCCTGACGCATCTGCTTGGGATGGGTTGCGGCAAATCTTGCAACAGTGGCAGTTTACCACCGAATATGCAGTGGTCGTGGGTGATGTGACGCTCGTTGAAGCAGACACGAAACCTCACGACGTCACTGCTCAAAGAGGTTGCAATCAAGACACTAGATATAGAGCGAGCGGAGAGCTGCCGTGATTTCTTGCCGTGATATAGGCGGAATTTGCGTTTCTCGTCGTCCAAGGCCTGGTTCGTGACCCCAGGGTAACAAGGTTCGAGTGGAACATTGCTGCTAAAACGTGACACTCTTCATGAAACCAACCAGAGATGTGCAGATCATTTGCTTTCAGTACCCTGTGCTTATGCTTGCTTTGATATCACATGGGTTCCTTTTGGTGCCGTGTGTACGTCCGATTCCGGATTATTGTTGTTTCACGCTGAAAAGCGCAGCAGTGAGGAAACATGGCCGTCTCTTCACTTACGAAGGTGGCAATTTCACCTTGAAGACCAAGATTCTGGGACTTGAATTGTGAAACTTTATGAGGACATTTTGTATTTTCATCATTGGCAAAGCACCAAAGCTGCCTTCGCTGGGTGCTGCAAACAGCTAATTCGTTATGCAGTGCTGTGTGGTAAGTAGGACAATCGAGAGCCGGATAGACACAAGCGTTCAGAAGACCAAGGAGTTTTTTTCCTACAAGCAGTGGACCGCCTGAATTTGCAAAGCAACAATTTGCAAGCAACAAGTGTGCGACCATTGTCTAGTCTTGCGGGATTTGAGGCCATGATTGATGACCCATTCCTGTTACAGTTACAGCTTTTGATACGCTGGGATGTCCAAGGATTCCAACTGGAAGCACCAGCAAGTGGCCGTCTGCAATGATGTTTGCTGGCTTGGTGCACGATGGCACGGCGAGTGGGTCGCATTTTGTGGGCGGGCCTGTGCGGAGGTTAATTGATCAGCCACAGGGCCACCCCCTGAGAAGGGGACTGTTGTTTCGCTGGACCATGAGTAACTGTTACCCAAGTATGTTGCTGATCATTCCCTTGGCTAAGCCAGTGTCAACTCCAAGCATGCCTAATTAAGTCAACACACCCGGATGAACATTGAAACGATTGAAGCCGCAGCCCTGGATGGAAGCCTGCCACTTGTCCCGCCTGAGACGACCAAGAGAAATCAAAAGAACACGTGCACGCTCCGGATTGCAGCCACAAATCGAGCCAGTTAAGGTGAGCAGCTTGGATGATCCGGTGCACAAGTACCTGCCTTGGTGGACCAAAGATCCCAAGGATTTGCGATCGACAGCCACCCGCATGCGCATGTTTCCGCTGGGTTGTAGAGCTGACAGATGCTAGCTAGCTAGCAGCAAAAACTCTCAATTGCTGAGCTTGGTGTTGCCACTGGGGACTGAGGGTCAGCCTTTAAGAACATGTATATATAAGGCACTAAGCACTGGCAGTTGTTCCATTTCCTGTGCTTCGCTCCTCCAGCAAGTCGGAGTTATTACCACAACTTCCAGAACCCATCCGTTCCGACCCCCAACACGCGATCCCGATCGGTTTTAGAACATTTTCTCCAAGCACAGCGAGTGGAGAGAGGGGGACCATCCAGACATATCTCCAAAGGCAAAGCTTAAAGATTCATGGTAATCGGCCTTTGCTGGTGTCTGACTCATCTCTTGAAAGCCTCAGGTAAGTCTCAGTTGCTCATGTGCGGCGGTGTGGCTGGAGTCCAGTGATGTATCGATCAAAGATGTCATGCTTTAGGTTCCAGGTTTTCAGACCTGGCCCAGCCGCTTGACATGGGAGCTTTTGCCTTTCACAGACAGGTGACCTTTCGCATGCTTTTGACCTTCACCTCTGGTTTTGGCAGTGGGCATCCAGGGGAGGAGTTCAACACGCGTGCTGCACGTGAGTGGCGTCAGCAAAGCCAAACACTGGCGACCGGACGAAGCCCCTTGGGCCAACTTCGCAAGAGAGAATAAGGGAGAAGATGAGTTGAACTGAAATCATGTGGCGTCATTTTCGGGGTACATAAATACTTCAGGCATCTTCAGGCAAAGTCATTGAGTGAGTCGTGATGGACGACAACAATGTCCAAACGAGAGCTGGGTCCAGCTCCAGGTAAAATCGCCCATGTAACAGTGGACCTTATACTATTACGGTGTAATAGGGACACATCACGAAAGCTAGCATCAGCTAGCTGGAGTTGCTCTTGCTTTAGCAAGTCAAGGGCTCGCAGCCTCGAGAATCATGAATCACGTGAAAACTTCACGTGTAGGGGGGGGCCCCCCCCCCGCGCGGGTTCAACTCCCCCCTGGGACGCTTCCGGTACGTGCTATAGTGCTATGTTTAGGTGGCAAGTGAAGTAGGCCACTGTTTGAGTTTGGAAGGGGGGGCATGAAACATGAAATTTACGCGAGGGTTCAAGGCTTCAATGATGAGCATCACGGGAAGTCAGAAACCAGGCGTATCAGATACACGTGCCTTTGAGCTTCCTTCGGCATCTCAGTGCATATGGCTGACACTTCACTCGACAAAGATGCTCAAACAAACATACATAAACCAGGTGTATCTGATACGCCTGGTTTGTGACTTCCCGTGATGCTCATGATGCTGCGTTGCTTTTCTTCAGTCCCTCATTACATATACATGACGATGCAACAGCAGATTCAACAAGCTCACATGTTCATGACATCGACATCGATAGAAGAAACCAAACAAATCATGCAAGCAGCTTTGTTTTGCCTCTGGGACACCTCTTGGGCACCTCTTAT